TCACCATACTTATTCAATCTGTATGCTGAGCAAATAATCTGAGAAGCTGGACTATGTGAAGAACAGGGCATCAGGACTGGAGGAAAACTCGTTAACAACCTGTGTTATGCAGATAACACAACCTTGCTTGCTGAAAGCGAAAAAGACTTGAGGCACTTACTGATGAAGATCAAAGACCATAGCCTTCAGTATGGATTGCACGTCAACATAAAGAAAACAAAAATCCTCACAACTGGACCAATAAGCAATATCATGGTAAACGGAGAAAAGATTGAAGTTGTCAAGGATTTCACTTTACTTGGATCCACAATCAATGCCCATGAAAGCGGCAGTCAAGAAGTCAAAAGACACATTGCATTGGGCAAGTCTGCTGCAAAAGACCTCTTTAAAGTGTTGAAAAGCAAAGATATCACCTTGAAGACTAAGGTGCACTTGACCCATGCCATGATATTTTCAGTCACCTCATATGTATGAAAAAGCTGGACTATGAATAAGGAAGACCGAAGTAGAATTGATGCCTTTGAATTATGGCGTTGGTGAAGAAAATTGAGTATACTATGGACTTCTGAAGAACGAACAAGTCTGTCTTGGAATAAGTATGCCAGAGTGCTCCTTGGAAACGAGGATGGCGAGACTTCGTCTCACATACTTTAGACACGTTATCAGGAGGGACTAGTCCCTGGAGAAGGACATCATGGTTGGTATGATAGAGGGTTATCAAAAAAGAAGACCCTCAATGAGATAGATTGACACAGTGGCTGCAACAGAGGGCTCAAACATAGCAACAGGTTGTGAGGATGGCTCAGGACTGGGCAGTACTTTGCTCTGTTGTACATATGGTTGCTATGAGTCAGAACCGACTTGATGGCACCTGACAACAACAACACCATAGGGTCGTTGTAGGATTAAATTTCTTAAATGAAAAGCCATTAGAACAATGCCTGGCCCATCACAGGTGCTCCATGAGTGTTAGCTGCTATTCAGCTTTCAGCATTCCAACCATGCCTCTCTTGAGGTATCCCTTTTCCCCATTAGAAGGTGAAAGTGAAAGGTGGAGGCAAGTAGCAGTGTGCTGGGACTAGCTCTTAGCAGCTCATGAGAACCGACTATGTGCATCTCTTCCCGGCTCTGTGTTTATCAGCATCGCATTGATAGTTTGAAATTGGTCATGGTGGGAATATTTACACGATGGTAATTGGCTTAACTTTAGAACACATTAATTTGTAGTGTTGTCAGTCTATTAAGAAAATGGTGTTTTGCTACACAGGAGTAGCAAAAGGGATAGTTAGACCATTAAAGACATCTTTACTCAAACTGGGGTGAAATCTGCATTTGAAACCTCTACCCCTCAAGGCCATGCCAAACAAGTCTGAGACCTCTGATTACCTCCCTTCAGTCTAAGTGACCTATCCACTGCACCACCAATGTATTGACAAATACATGTCAGACCTAGCTGTTGCTTGGCTGAATCATTTGGGGTTTACCTCTCTAAAGGATGCAGAAAGGAATAAATTCAGCTCAGGTACACAGCAGAGAGGACAGCAACATTTTTGAAGGCAGTCGGAGGTGCAAATTTCTGACCAAGGAGTGCAGAGTTGTGGATGATACTATCCAAGTGCATGAGGGTGAACAGCCCTTCTAGAAGCTTCCTGCTCCCTCCTGGCCCAGCATTACATACACAAGGCTGGAGCACTCAGCACATGGCTCAATCTCGCCTCGTCCAGGAGTACCTCATCCATCTTAGAGAAATAAAGTATGCAGCATGACCACAGGTCACCGTACGGTTCCATTAACTCTGACAAGAACTCAGTCTTCGCTTATCAGCCTCAGCATCCCCAGCTCAGTCTTGCCTGAGAACAGTCTGGTCCAAGCACAGTGCTAGAGTTTCCCAGACATCTTTAGGAGTTCTGTCTAAAATGCCTGAAAGCTTGTATGAGTTTCCCATTGCTGCTGCAACAAATTACTACAAACTTCGTAATTTAAAATAACACAAATTTATTATTTTACAGTCTGGAGGTGGGAAGTCTGAGATCCCTCTGGGTGGACTAGAACCTCCAACCTTTCAGTTAGCAGCCTAGCATGTTAACTGCACCATGCAGGGACTCTTTCAGACAGTTATTTGCACTTTGTTCACCACCTGACTCATTAGAGTGTGTTTCTTGAGGGAAAGAATTTTGCCTTACTCATCACAGTGGGTATGCAAGCACTTCATACTCAACATGTCTATGACTAAGTTCATCATTTCCCTCCAGACCTGCGCTCTCCACCTCACCATCCTTCTAGTTGCCCAAGACCTGGGACATTATGTCAGATTCTTCCCTCTCCTTCACCCCCTGTAATGGACTTCTGTGGCTTGTCTTTTCAGTCTAGCATCTCTTCCTTGCTTCTGATAACAATACCAGCCCTTTCTCTAGGACACTGCTCTGTCCATGAGGTTGTTAGAGGGCTGCGTAGTGTGGGTTGGCACATAACCCAGTGTTATGGATTGAATTGTGTCCCCCCAAAATATGTGTTGTAAATCTTAACCTCTATGCCTGTGATTATAATCCCATTTGGGAATGGGTTGTCTTTGTAATGTTAATGAGACAGGATTAGTGTAGGGTGTGTCTTAAATCAATGTCTTTTGAGATAGAAAAGAGATTAAACAAGCAAGCGAAAGAAGCAGAGATGCGGGAAGAGAGATCCCAAGCCACAAGAAGATCATCCAGGAGCAGAAGCTCAAAGAGACTTGGACCTTCCTCTGGAGCCAAAAGAGAGAGAAAGCCTTCCCCTAGAGCCAGCGCCCTAATTTCAGACTTCTGGCCTCCTAAACTGTGAGGAAATAGACTTCTGTTTGTGAAAGGCATGCACTGTGGTGTTTCTGTTATAGCAGCACTGGTAACTGTGACACACCCAGCCTGAGACAGTGGTGACCCATGAGTCAATGGTGTGCCTGTAACTATTTAACAG